AACAGCTACGAAAAATATAGATGAAAACCCATTTGCCCATTTGGGGATGTTCTAGTGTTAAATCTGAGCCTGGTAGACCCGACCTGTGCATTATTGGTTAAGACAGGTTTTGCCTGATGAGAGGCATTTTCTTTTGAATGCTGACATTTTGAAGTCAGAACTTTGTATATATATTTATAAATATCACCGTTATCTTTGAAACACCAGCGCTGTGCAAATAAATCCCACACTCATTTGCACCTCTACCTGCCTGCGTCCTGCTGAATCTTTGTCCTTATGACTGCTAGAAGGCCCCTACTTTACGCTGATACAGTGCAGATAGGCTACAGATTTCAGGCCAACCTTTCACTTCAAAAGCACTCAATGATCTCGGAGTTGCTCCATTTGAACTTTATGTTTATTTTTGTATAGCGTGATATATGCAGAATTCAATATAATTCCAATTCAAGAATCCCCCCAAACATTTGCCCCCTCGCCTATGCTGCCCCCTTAGTCACTTTATCCTGGCGCCGGGTCTGCGAGGAAGGCATATATCGATGTTCTCATGGCCTTTTCAAACGTCCAAAATCGAAGTCTATTTCTGGTGATCAGGCAGAGCGTGCACGCACACACACACACACACCAGCAGCTGGTAATGATGGTAGTCGTGGACAGATTACGTAAACATAAACGGTACCGTAGAACAGCATTAGTTCCGGTGCTTTGGACAAATCACGATTTCGCAGGTGATAGCATCTTTTTAATTTCGGAAGGGGAGAGGACATTCGGCCGTAATTTGCAAAGAGAGAGGGTGGAGCTATTCGTTCCGCTTCCGATCCTCGTTCAATCTGTATAGACCAGAATTGAATCGAGGATCTGACCAATTACGCTAGACTTTAGTGCTGGGTTAACCGAGATTAGTAATGCCATTACCTCTGCCAGTCTTCTTTCCATTGGTTGCAGTGTAACGCTCATTGAGACAGTATTGTGCTGAGCAGAAAAGGCTAAGGGCCATCTGGAAATATGTGTGCGTGCGTGTGTGTGTGGTTTTTCTAAGACACATAAATGTCTCCAATTCGTTCATTGTTTGGGTTTCTCTGAAACGGCAATAATATTATATTCTCAAACTGCACCATTTTAAATGCATGCATCAGTGCATACACATAACACATTAGATGTTACGATCAAGTCGGTAAAAAGTAACATTTGTTGATGTTTTAATAGAATGTGTTCTGAAATGCATGACATCATGAAACCAAAATGGCTATTGTTGTCTCATTCAACCATTCGATTCATACAGAGATGCTTGTAATAACATGATACTTTATGGGAAACTGCTCTTTTCTTTCTTGTTGATTCTGCTGAGGGAATGTTTTTTTTTTTTCTCTCTCTCTAAGATGCACACTGAAATATACACACGCATGCACACACGTACACATGAACAGAAACACACATGCACACATACACACACTCAATTCTCTCATCCCCTGAAGGTAATCACTATTCAAACACATCACATCATTGGACAAACACCGCACCCATCCAACCATCCTCCCGTCGCTGTGCCCAGAGCTGGAAGTTAAGGAGGAACAGGGAAACAGAAGAGTTTCACATTTGGCCAGAGGCATGTGTGTAGGTGTATCATGTGTGGGTGTCAAATCAAAGTCGAGTCACGTGCACATAAAACAGTATAGTGAAATGCTTACTTGCAAGCTCTTTCCCAACAATTCAGTATTCAATATCAAGGTAAGAGTAGATAATATAAAGTAAAAAAAAAAAAAACGAGAAATAAGAAAAGTACTATCATTTCAATGTGCAGGGATACTGAAGTAGTGAGATAGATATGTACATGTTAGCAGGGGTACAAAAGTGACTGTTAGCAGGATAAATAATAATATTGTGCGTGTGTGTGTGTGTGTGTTCATGTGTGTGTTTGTGTGTGTGTGAAAGGAAATGAAGGGATAACACAGACAATGACCCAATCTCAGAGAGAGAGAGAGAGAGAGAGAGAGAACAGAAATTCCACGGTGACATGGCCATAGAATCACTCTCTATTCCCATATCCTCTCCCTCCCCTCTCTGTCTCTCCTCTTCCCCGTGGGACAGAACCATGGAATTCACCTTGAACCCTTGCACCTCCTGACTATGATTATAACACTAGCACTATACCTTGCCAGGCTTTATTCTATTGTTAGAATGTGATGTATGTGCAATATGTGTAATGTAGATGGGCTCCATTGACAGCATCTATTTGGTCTATATCTATGTGTATTTCATGTCTTGTCGTGATAGTGCAGTCTGGTCATGGCTTTGTTTTGTCCTGCATCTGTGTACCACCCCCCCAAGAAGGACTCACATAAAACCAAAAAAGAGACAGAGAACAATTCATATTTTGTATTGTTTGCGTTTTTGTCTCATTTTCACAAAACAGGTACAGGGGAAGGAAAAGCCTTTCAATGGAACCTGAGGTATTTTGCGTCAAGCAGTCTAAGGTATCAGGATTTTATTTTCAAAACTTACCTAAACTCATCAATGTTCTTAGATACGTTGCTATTTACACAACATAATAATGATAATAATAATAATAATAATAATAATAATAATACACCAATACCAACAATTATAGCAATCAGGACAGCCTGCATCTTCTCTTAACATGTTTTTAAATAATTATAACATATTTTTAAAAATATAGAGAGTAGAAGGAAAGGCTAGGAAGAGAACTGAACACAGGAAATCCAGGTCTGACCTTACAGCAGCACAAAGGTATAGGTCAAAGGTCAAAGTTCGCCAGAGAAAAGATAACCGAAGGAAAAGAAAAAACCCACATATAAGTACATCATAAATAAATAGACAATCTCACACCAGGAGAGCAATAGCATTCATTCATTCACCTCTGAATCATGACAAATCCATTCTAGTTTCATCCCTTCCGTTTTGTTTTTATCATACCTTTGGAAAATAAGAGAGTGAGAGCGATAGATAGATAGACACAGAGAGAGAGAAAGCGAGGAAGTGAGGGGGACATGCATTGTGCTGATGTGCCAGCAGTTGTGTATCCTGCTCCGGGCTTGGCTCACTGAAAGATCCCCTGAGAACAAACGAAAGGTGGCGGTGTATCTTTGTGTGTGACTATATGTGTGTATGTATGTGTGTGTGGAGGGGATTTGTTTCAGCTTTGGGCTCCTCTCATATCCCAACACTGTTTAGTTCTGTGTGTGTGTCTGTGTGGAAACTAACCAACAGAATGAATCTAGCACTGTTAGGTGGATGTCTCTAACATTGTCAACTGTGTGGATCTACTTGCATATACCAGTAGTTGTTGTCATTAGCCCTCGAGAAATCAACAGTCCTTCCTACAATAATTATTCTCTTTAGAAGAGTACTGGGTTGAATAAAGTTCCTCACTCTCCTCACACTAACAGTCTCCCAGTAGATGTCCTAATAACTGTAGGAGCTCACAATAACACACAACTGAAGAGTCAACACAGTGAGCACTACACGTTGAAAATATGTATTTTCAGCATCTTCTCAACGTATTTTCTACCAAAAATACATATTTGTTACGTACTTTCATTGTCTTTCAAACGTTTTGTGCTCATAGGGACGTAGCTAGAAACCCCTCAGATGACTGTTCTTCACCATACCACACGTCTGGTAATGTCACCAGGGGTTAGAGTGTGTTGGTACCTTTAGGAAGTGGATGGGATACTCGTTTTTGAAGAGTAACAGAAAAGTGCATTTCAACGTCAGATGAAACCCAAAATACATCACTCTCCCGCCAAATAAGGAACATCACATATTGCTTGCTTGTAGTTTTGTGTGTGTCTGTCTGTTGTATATGTATGTGTGTTTCATAAATACCATACAGCAAAAACTGAGATTAACAAAGGAAAAAGTTCACAAAACATTATATTATTTCTCATTACCAGAATGAACAGATAAAATAAATTAAAACTATAACTGGGAAAAAAATGTTGATTAAAAGTCCATTAAAATTGCTATATATATTCATATAGTATATATAGTATTTGTCTGTCTGTCGCCAGCCACTCTGGAGCATGCTCAGTAGAGGCTGGGAGAAGGGGGGCATGGGTGGGGAGTATACATTGGGGGGTGGGGTGTGTGGAGCGAGACATGCGAGTACAGAACTCCTCTACAGGTAGGGCGTAACTTAGACCTAACCCCTCCACACCGCCCCAAACCTCAGTCACGTCACACCGTTTAACACTGGAAACAAGGGAGCAGACGAGGATTGCGGGAAAATACACTGTCAGTCTTTATCGGTCACTATGAGTCCTCATAAACCATAATGTCTTCGTAAACCACGATGGGCTGACACGCCAACATGGAGGATCCTTCATTGTTTTGATGCAGTATCACCGGTACAGTCTCTTAGGAGAGTCTGAATAGTATCTCTCTGCAGTGTGATGTGGTATGTTCTGGGGTACAGAGTCCTTTCTAAGTCTTTTTAATGAATGGTGGGGCAGACTGAGCCATGCTGGGGTTGGCGTTCACTGGGGCTGAAGTCAAGCTTTGGGAGGAAACTGCTTGGCTATACGTCTCAAATGACACCCTATAACCTAAATAGTGCTATACCTTTGGTGACATTTGTTCGAAAGTAGTGCACTATATGGGGGATAGGGAGCCCTTTGTGATTTGCCCCGGTGTCCCTTTTTCTCTAACTGACACCATACAGAGGAAATAGTTAATAGTTCAGTGTCAGGCCCCACAGCCTCTGTCTTTTCCCCGAGTTTTTCTCTTCAGAGCTTTGTTTGGTAGTACTGTAGATGTACAGTAGTAGTAAATCGACAGCCAGTCTAGTCCAGGAGCGCCAGCTAGCTAAGGGACTCACAGAAACTCTCTGTCCATTTGTTTGTCTTCTCAGAGTTTGAGTCTCTAACACGGTCTGTGTGGGGATTATAAATCTCCCCCCTCTGTCCTCCCCCCTCCTCCCCCCTCAGGTCCGTTTGCCCCCCCCTCCCTTGGCGAGAGCCGGTTGTGGTCCGGAGTCCGGTTTGTCAGGACACCTCGATGATCTCCATGCTCCCGGAGAAGCTGGACTGCTTCCCGATCTTCCCTAGCTCCTCCCGGGAACGTGTCTCAGAGATGCCCTCCTCAAACTCCATCTGACAGCTGCGCCGCTTGAACTGCTTCTCGCTGCCGTTGGAGACCGTCCCGTTAGCGACGGTCGTCGAGGAGTCCCGCTGTGATGGTGACGCTGACGACGACGACGATGCTGTTTTGTCCCGCGGCGCTTTCTCCCGTAGCCGCACCCCTTCGCTACAACCCGAACGCCACGTACGCTGAGCTGCTTCCGAATCGCACTTCCACCCCTCCTCCACCGCCTCCTCCGAGTTCCATCCCTCCTTCCCCTACCTCTTCTGCCCCAAAGTACCAGGGGGCGTCGGCGGTAGGGGTGACTGGGGTGGTCGCCTGGACTGTGTCTCTGTGTTTGGTCCATATGGTCCCAGATCCCATGGTGGGCAGGGAGAGAAGCATGGAGCCTTTCAGGCTGTCGTCCAGGCTGGGGCTCTTGTGGACGGGCAGGGAACGTCCCAGAGCCAGGCTGAGGGACTGGGGGTGTGGGAGGTAAGAGTGGACCGGGGAGCTGCCTGTGGATCCAGCTCCACCAGATCCAGAGCTGTGCTTGGCTTTCCTCCTGGGCCTGGACGATGAGGGACCTCCAGAGCGAACGCCCCCTTCACTGGGACCCCCGACGCCGAGACCTCCGATGCTGCCGCCGCACCCCGGGGAGGGGAAGGGCGACTCAGCTGAGCCGGGGCTGTCTGGGGCGGTGGAGAACTGGGGGCAGACACCATTGACAGGGGGGCTGTCCAGTTTACACAGCTTGGGCACGTCCTCGGAGTGTGTGGGCGCTGCCAGGCGCAGGCAGTGGGGGCTGCTAGGGGAGTAGACAGACTTGATGTCCAGGGAGAAGGAGCGCTTCAGCCGGTTGGTGTCCAGGATGCGCTCGGCCGACAGGTGGAGGCCGTTGAAGCCCTGCTGGAGGGACGTCGGCGAGGGGAGCTTGGGTTCTGGAGGGGTCTGGGGCTCTGCTAATGAAAAGTCATGATGACCGTTGACCTCTGACCCTGAGCTGACCCCGTTGATCTCTGAACCCTGGGATTGACCTTTGCCCTCTGAGGTCTTGTCATCCGACAGCGCCTGGAGGAGCCGCAGCCCCTTCTCGAACTCCAGCAGCTGGCCCAGGAAGTTGAAGTTGGGTGATATCGAAGGCCGCCGGTCCTTCACAAACCTGGTCAGGGGAGAAACAAGTGAGCGAAATGTTAGTTCCAGTTAGAGTTGGGGATCCAGTTCCAAAGTAAAGCCATACAAATATTTTGTAAAGTTCCTCTAAGCTACTTCCTGTGTGAACCTAATATTTATTGTTGGGTAGCATGCATTTAAAGGGATACTTTGTGATTTTGGCAATTATCTACTTCCCCAGAGTCAGAAGAACTCGTGGATACCATTTTTATGTCTCTGTGTGTAGTATGAAGGAAGTTAGAGGTAGTTTCGTGAGCAAATGCTAACTAGCATTAGCGCAATGACTGGAAGTCTATGGGTCTAGCAGATACCCATAGACTTCCAGTTATTGCGCTAACGCTAGTTACTAATTGTGCTAGCGCTTGTTAGCAACCTCCTTCAAACTGCACACAGAGACATACAAATCCATTAGTTAATTTGACTCTGGGGAAGTAGATAAAGTGGCTCATCGCCAAAATCCTGAAGTATCCCTTAAAGTAGCAGGTTACCCCCAGATGAACTGGTGTGAACTAACTGAAAATATTATCCTAGGTCTATGTTCTCCAGACAGCACAGCTAGTTCCTATTGTACACTTTTGTACAGTTCCTCTGGCAACCATAACAATTTCATTTCTCACGACTGGGGAGTAGAGATGAGTGTCTAGCGTTTCCTCAAACACTGAGTCGCCTTTTTAAAGACGCTGAAACTTAAGCTCAGCTGGAGTGGCGGGGTGCGTCGGGGGGGGGGAGAGAGAGTGCACCTGTAGGCGTCATCCGATGACAGGCCCATTGTCTTCATGATGTATGCGATGGCGATGGTTGCCGAGCGTGAGATTCCAGCCAGGCAGTGCACGATGACTCTGCAGTTTGACACCTTGGCTTTGTCTGTGGGAGGGGGGAACAAACACGTGTGAACACACACAGCTGTACACAACACCCAGGAACAGAATTAGTTAGAACAGAGAGTCTCCTGAGAGAATGGAAAGCCCATTGAAAACAATCCGCCACTTCCTGTTCAGCACAGGAATGGCAATTAACCTCGCTTTGGGAGTGTCGCTATTGATGTCTTTTATTGTATGTGTTCTAGTACAACTTGTGAAAACAAGGATAATTTTATGGTGCTATACATTGTGATTATGTGATATTTTGAATAGGAGGGCTGTTTCACTATGTTGTGTGACACACTACTGCTCGGGCTACCAGTGCATATTACTAGTGCATATTACTAGTGCATATTACTAGTGCATATTACTAGTGCATATTCTCTGCACATACAAAGACACACAGAGAATCTTGACTTACCGATGAATTCATTGGTTTTCTCCAGCCAGGGCAGTAGTTTCTCGCAGTAGTTGTCGTTGACAGGGATCCGCATGAAGTGGCTCTCGCTGATGAAGTCAGGCTTGGGGCAGGTGTTACTGGCATTCAGCACGTACGTGATGCCATTCTGAACCATCAGGTCCTACAGACACAAAGAGACACAGACAGGGGACTGTTAGAAAAGGCAATAACAGACAAAAATGACAGCAAAGGTAACACACTGTTATACTTAGTTTCCGCTCACATTCCCTCTATTTCCGATTCCGAGTGTTTAATAGTCACATGGATAGGGTTGCAGGTGTGATTGCAGGGTACATGCAGGACTAGTGAAATAAAATAATGAAAATGGTAATATAAAACTATATATATATATATATATATATATATATATATATATAGCACTATATACATAATAACAACTGTGGCAGTGATGAATAAATACATGTCCATATTCCCCCTTCTCTGCTATGGGCTCACCTTGTTGAGGACGTCTTTCTGCGATCCCAGGTAGAGGTGTGGTAGGATGCGTGTGGGGCCTACATTAGCTACAGGTAGGCAGGGCTGGGATATGCTCATAGGCAAAGCTGGCTTGCCCTCACACAGCCCGGGGAAACAGGAGGAGAACGCAGCAAAGCCCCCTACAGGAGAAAGAGAGAGAAACAGGAAAAAATAGGTCAGTTATACTCTACAATACAACTTTCCCCAAATTGGCAAACGTTTGGGAGCCACGGCACTTGGTTCAGCTGCACATACAGAACTCACAACTCAATACACAGTATCTCTCTGTGCACTGAATCCCCTTACATTACAAACGGGTGTTCCAACAACATCGCCTAACCATTTGAAACTGTGTACATATTGTAGATAACAGTTGGAGATAGAATGTGGGATAGTGTCTCTGCTCCCAGCTCAGTAGGAAAACTTTCTCTGCTGCCATCTTTGACTGGGAGTTCGTTTGGCTGCTGGGCAGTGAGGAATGTGTGTAGCTGGCCCTTTAAGAGCAGGCGGCTCCACTTTTGGCCTGTGTGTGTGTTAGTGTGTGTTAGAGACTATGTGTGTGTGCGACTCTGTTTCCTGTATGAGCTCATGTCCTGTAGCAGAGAATTGCGTCAGGGCTGGGGAATGAGAGAGGCCACAGGTGCAGGGCCAGCACAGAGGCCCTGTAACATCCTCCTGACGACCGCGCAGTACACACACACACACACACACACTAGCGCACACACCCATGCGCGCGCACAGCATACAAATTGCACACACATGCGCATCCAGCGCGCACACAACCGTGCAGTACGCAAACACACACACACCACAGTCGTTTCTACAGAAGCATGCATACACACGCAAAACCACACAAAGACAATCTTACATACACATTTGCTCACTCTCGCTTTCTAAATCTGACTCACACACTCACTCATCATTACTCTGCATTACCACAGTTGTATAACTTCTGGGCAGGCTAAGGGGGGAGGAGAGTGAATGACCTCGCCGAGCAAGGAAAGGAGGGGGGGGAGCGAAGAGAAGGAGGGAGGGAAGGAGAAGGAGTGCTTCAAGGAAACCCTGAGCCCCAGCAGAAGGATTAAAACTTAATCTAGGTTCAGCCCTGCCTGCCCCAATCTGGCCTACCGCCACACACACACACACACACACACACATACACACACACATAAATAAAATAAATAAATATGCCATTTAGCAGACGCTTTTATCCAAAGCGACTTACAGTCATGCGTGCATACATTTTTGTGTATGGGTGGTCCCGGGGATCGAACCCACTACCTTGGCGTTACAAGCGCCGTGCTCTACCAGCTGAGCTACAGAGGTACACACCAAAGTGCTGCTGTCCTGAATATGGGTCGTAGTGGAGTCAGTGAGAGCAGAGTGTATTCTGACCCACGATAGGCAGGCAGACAGATGGCTATATCTGGCGCCCGTCTCTTTAAGAGATTGAGAGGAGGGCCTGCCTGTTTCCAGCTATTAATGGCAACGGCAAAAAGATGACATCACATCTCCACATGCAGTCGGCAGGCAGAGAGAGAAAGAGAGAAAGAAAGAAAAATAGGGACAGAAAGAGTGTGCTCTGAGTGGCACAGTGGTCTAAGGCACTGCATCGCAGTGCTAACTGTGCCACTAGAGATCCTGGTTCGAATCCAGGCTCTGTCGCAGCCGGCCGCGACCGGGAGACTCATGGGCGGCGCACAATTGGCCCAGCGTCGTCCAGGGTAGGGGAGGGAATGGCCGGCAGGGATGTAGCTCAGTTGATAGAGCATGGTGTTTGCAACGCCCAGCGTTGGGTTCGATTCCCACGGGGGGCCAGTATAAAAAAAAATATATGTATTCACTAACTGTAAGTCGCTCTGGATAAGAGCGTCTGCTAAATGACTAAAATGTAAATGTATTACTAAGGGAGTCCCTCTTCCCTCAATTAGAACACTTAATTTCAGCAGGAGTCTATGACTGCACAGATATAATTAACTCCTGTAATATTCCTCATTCAAAGCCACCCTTCCTCCATATGCACTTTATTCACACTACATAGAACAGAACAGTGGAAGGAAGGAAGGATCTCTTTCAGGTTGTTCTTTGAAGGCTATCTTCCTGGTTGTGTGTGCTCATGCTCTCTCTCTCTAAGCTCCTCTGACTGAGGAAGGAGTGTGTTCCTGAAAAACGCTATAGATAAACAGGAAAACACACGTCACGTAAGAAACATTTCCCTTTTCATTAGAGGACATTCTTAGAGAGTTGTTGAGAGGATAAGGTCAGCATGGGACAGTGTGTGTTCACTAGCTAGTGCTGCCTTTGTGCAAAACGACCTACTCTCCTTCTCCTCAGGTACAGACAGCAGAGATAATACAACAGGATTGTGTGCCTGGGTCTATTGAGGGCTATTGTGTTTCAGCAACGTTGCTTCAACACACACACACACACACCACTGGGCTGTCCAAAGGTTTACAGTGGTCCTGTGCTGTGTTCTTGGGCTCTTAGTCAGCACTGATAACACACTCACTGTCACCGGTCACCTGACCTTCAGACTTAACGTTGCTATGGCAACAACACGGGACGATGTGGCCGACCGTTGAGCCTATTGTCCCTGGGGTGCTGTCACTATGGAAACACCCACCATGCGCACACACACTCTGAGTACCTGATGATGTGCCAGAGAGACATGCACTCACATCCCCCAACAGTACCGGATGACACATCTCTCCATTCCAATCCAAACCCACATCATTGAAAATACCCATGACAAACTCAGGTCCAGCTGTCTGATGAGATGACATCATAAAGTCAACTGTCTGTAAGCGCTGAGATCACCTTCAGTCTGATTACCAAACACAGTCACAGACCAGGTCTGCTTCCCAAATGGCACCCTATTTCCTATGTAGTGCACTACTTTTGACCAGGGCCCATGGTTCTGGTCAAAGGTAGTGCACTACATAGGGAATAGGGTGCCATTTGGGATGCATGCCACCTCAGACTACAGCCTGTTCTGTTTGAGGCTCCTGGTCCACTTAGTTTCTAGCTAAAACAAATGTTCTAGGACCAGTTGCCTGTTCCCCAGGGTCTCACTTTCACCATTATCAGCTAAATAGACAAACTGACCCTGGCTGTTGAGTAGCCACCTTTCAGTCTGGTAGCCAACTCACTGGGCACGGGGAAAGAGGGCAATGTGTCGCAATCAGCTTCACCAGCCAGCGTTGACTTCCTCTTTGCTCTCACCCACTCCCCCACTCCCCCACTTCCCCACTTCCCCACCCATTATGTCATGGCTTTTTTTCTCTCCTCTCTCAGAGCGCCCCGGCCCTCCCTTGTTTACTGAATGGTCTCTCTCTCTCGCATTCTCTTTATATCCCTATCCCTACACAGGGAACTCTTAGGGAAGTAGGGTAATGTACACAAATCAAGATGCTACACATATGAATGAAGTTCATAAAGAAATACATGTTTATATGTGTAACATATCAACATCTATCAATGTATAGTTGAATGAAATGGAAAGCTTTTATTTGTAGCAAGTTCATGGGGACAAAGGATCCCTTATCCACAGAACACATAGCTTGTGTGTTGCCATATTTGGAAAGCAGCACAAATGCTTTTTCACCAAAACAAATCACATTCTCCACTACTACAAACAGTCTCAGTTATGATAAGAGGTCTATTTATATGGCCTGAAATCACTGAGAGGGAGAGAGAGAAGAGAGAGATGAGGAGAGAGAGAGAGGAGAAGAGAGGAGAGAGAGAGAGAGAGATAGAGAGAGAGAGAGAGAGAGAGAAGAGAGACTATGAGATCAGAGAGAGAGAGTATGAGATAGATGTTGCGAGCGCTAGAGGATGATATCTCATCTCTGTCCCGTTCTCTCTCCTCTTCAGAGGCAGCCTCTCTTCGAGGTTCGCTCTCCGATCTGTCTGTTAATATACGCTGTTGGTACTATTGACTGGCCCTCAATACCAAACCATCTCTGTGTGTGTCGTGTCTGAGAGGCTTTCAGCAGCATTATGCCTTAATGGACGGGAACACACACATGCACATGCAGAGATGGGCAGTATTTCTGTTACATGTATTTGAAATACGTATTTGAATTACTTCTAAGTATTTTGTATGTTGTATTACACTGGGCTGAACTACACTCCAATGTATTTTGTAACAACATACTTTTGAAAGCTGTAATTTCTATTGTCAAAATACCAAAAACGATACAATATATTTTGTGGCCCCCTTTCACCCTACATTGGTATCAAAAGTCTGATGGCACTGCTAAATGAACTAAATATAAATGTATATTTAAAAATTAACAATCGCAAAACATGCTGATTATTACTCTAATAAGCTCCGCCCCGAAACAAGGCCAATGACATTACCCAGTGATCCAGAGTGACAGTGAATTCAACTAAGGTAGATAAACAACAAGATATCACAGTCATAGCAAGTAAGACGTTCCTGTAACAATTACTGAGTATGTTGTTGCTGTTCGTCCGGCTACTTGCAATTGTATTTTTGTATTTTAAAATACAAAATACATCTATTTTTATTAAGTACAATACTTTGCAAAAGTATCGTATTTTATTTTAATACGTTGGTCTTTAGGGTATTTTTGTAGTTGTATTTTGTAATTTATGCCCATCACTGTGCACACGCACGCACGTACACTCCCCCTCCCTTCTCCACCCCGGGGAAATTGATTTGTCTGAATGACTGCCCTCCCTCCATCCCTCACTTCTATCATTCATATGGGGGAGACATGACGCCATCCTCTGTGCCCCTCCAGCTGTCCCCTCTGCTCTGTAGGGGACATTAGCATTTCAATATGTCCCCCCCCCCACTATGACATCACTGCACACATGCCCCACTCCACTCTGCTCCACAAAGAGTCTGCTAAAGCAGCAGGGGGCCAAGGGTAGCCACTAGATCAGCATGTCACAAAGGACAACAAAATTGCAATGTAGAGGATTGAAGGGCAACCAGTATCTATCTGTTTGTGCCTATGTTATGTTATGGTAGCGTTAGCATGTGGCTATGTGTGTTTGAGTGTAAGTAGTGAAGCTGGTTTGTAGCAGCCAGGCAGCTAACCTTCTGAGTGCAACACAGTCTGAGAATAATCACTGTGACACTAACAACACCTCTATTGAATAATAATAATTTGGCGGGTGTCTATATTTGTCCTTTTTCACACATGTACAAGTGTGTATTAATACATTGGAATTGGAAATGTGTTTTTTGCATATCCCACTCTCCCTGAGACAACCTCGGAGAGTGGGGTCATGGCCAGCGTCTGCCATTATCAACGGCGACCCTGGAGCAATTAGGGTTAAGTGCCTTGCTCAAGGGTACATCGGCAGATTTTTCACCTTGTCAACTCTGGGATTCCAACTAGCGACCTTTCGGTTACTGGCGCAACGCTCTAACCGCTAGGCTACCTTCCGCCCATTTTCAACAGGTGATGACAAACGTGTAATTGTCTCTCTCTGGGCTAACGAGTTTGACGGCTCCTGCCTTGAAGCCGTGGCGTGAACACGCACGCGCAGCGCAGTGTGAACAGGACCAAGTGTTGAGTGCTGGGCTAACTGCACTGAACCAGCTCACTGCACTGAAACACATGCAGAGCATACACACTCTTCAGCACATCTAATATACAGCTAGACACACACACATACATAATGTTGGAAATATACAAACTGTACATTATATCAGCGCACACTGTGCAACACACACACACACACTTGGAAACTGAACACACACACACAGACACAGCGACACCTCTGCATTGTCTACTCCTGCTGTGTGAAATGTGTAATATAAAACACCTGGCTTCAGTGCACACACAAATCGATAAAACTGTCAATGCAGAAGAGAGAGAAAGAGAGAAAAGAAAGAGAGAGTGGGAGAACCAGAGAGAGAGAGCGAAAGAGGCAGAATGCGAGAGAAAGAGGCCTTTGTGATAGTTTTACATGTCAATGACCACAGGCAAAGAGAGTGAGCACTATGTCATACTGCAGAGCTGAGCTCTCTCTAGTTCTCTGTCATCTCTTTCTATCCTTCTGATAAATCCTTCTATTGTGATTGTACATCTTCTCTTTTATTCTCTTTCTTCAAGCCTCTGTGAATCACATACTTCAAGGGATGCCTGGATCTCCAGTCAGTAAGCCAAACCCCAATACCCCAATACTGTTGTACACACGTAATTCCATACCCTTGTACCTTGTAGAGCTGTACCCCACAACCTCTGCAACATACCCCTGTGCCCCCAGCTCCCCCATAGCCCAATACCCCCATGTGTTGACCCCCCCCCCCAGCCTGGGTCAGTACACACCTCGTAACTCTCTCCCTTCCTTGGTCCTGCGGACTCTGATCTTCAGCCTCCTGTCTGACTCCTGCAGGACAGGCCAGAAACAGTCCTCCGCCGGGGCTATGACCACGTCCAGAGGCATCACCCTCAACACGCTCAACATACACGCGTTCTGGTGTGCTCAGATCTGGTATACTATGACTGGACGTCCAGACCGGGGGAGTCCCCCAGGAATAAGTCAGCAGAACGGCTAAACAAACAAATCACTTGTTCCGAAAAACTTTAGACGGAAAGCCAGCCAGGTCCAAAACTCTACACTTCAAAGTCCTGAGTTGTCACTACTCACACTGGTGGTGGCCAAGTCCAAGTCCACTCAACTCAGATGGTCCCAAAGTCCAAGGAGCGAAAACTTAGTCCCAGAACTCAAGAGAACGGACGGAACCCGCTTACAGAAAGCAAGCTACTCCCAAACATCTGTAGATATACTGTCCACAAGTTCCATAAGCCAGTTCTAGAACTCATTCAGATCAAAATCCACCAAGAATGATATTTCTCCTATAATATCTAACAAAGCCATAGAGGTCCAGCAGTATTTTGAGGAATAATGAAATAAATAACTATGGAGAAAACAAATAGTGTATCTGTATATCTGTATGTCAGTCTGTCCTGTGCTGTATTGCCTGCAGTTGCTACAGTGTGTCTCTCCGTGCCTTCTCTCTGTGTGTGTGAGCCCACAGCCAGAAGAGCAGTACCCTATTGTTGTGCTGCTTCGCTCTCCCAGTCTCTCATTCGCTCACACTCCTCCCCCTCCCTCTCTCCCTCTCCTCTGTATAGAGGATGACGTAGTTGTTCTCTCTTTCCTCTCGCTCTCGCTTGCCGGGGAGGCGGGTGGGGGTGTGTGTGAATGAGCTCACTTGCCGTGAGCTAAGACTCTGACCCGCCTACCCTCCTCTCCCTACCCTCCTCTCCCTCCCCTCCTCTCCCTCCCCTCCTCTGTCCCTTGCTCCCTCCCTCCTCCCTCCCTACTTCCCTCCTCCCTCCATTGCACCCTCCTTCCCTCTCTTGTGGAGCCAGCACTCTGTCATAGCTAATGTCTAAGGCATGTAACCACATTCCTTACTCACCAGACAAATATGTGGCCACCTCAGGGGCCTAGCGAGCTGGAGCAGAGAGAGACAGCAACTACTGCTCAATGTGTTTTAGCAAAATACACTGTGTCTCTGTGTGTTTGTGTTTAATTAAATAGTGTGTGATTTATAATGTGCAGTGTATGTGTGTTTGCATACAATAAGTAGGAGACATCACTCCCTCTGAAACACATCACTCAATCTGCCTTGGCAACACACACACTCAGTGTCTATGTGTGTGTGTATATATATATATATATATATATATATATATATATATATATATATATATATATATATATACACACACCACACACACAGTCAGGTCCAACATTATTGGCACCCTTGACAAAGATGAGCAAAAAAGACTATCAAATAAATTATACAAATGCTGAGCTATATTGTATGCTACATTTATTTGGGAAATTATATTATTTTATACTAATACTTGCTCAGAGAAAGAGATTTTGTTTAACAAGATATACACACACACACAAAAAAATGTAAAAATGATTGGCACCCGTTTTCAAAACTCCAGCACCCTCCCCTTGCAAGAATAATGACACTGAGCCTTTTTCTAAAATGTTTTATGAGATTGGAGAACACATTGGGAGGGATCTTGGGATGGGCAACTTTGATGGGGGTGGGGGCCACAAACAAATCTGAACTCATCATGAGGGGCCGCACGCGGGTCTGCGTCTGTGTACCCACATCCATACCCACGCAGTTAGAGCTGGCCTTTTCGGGGCCTTAAGTAAAATGTAGATTTTGTGGTCAATTAACACTTTTTTTTGCGGATTTTGATTTGTGCTTATGATTATTGTCTTGCTGGAAGATCCACTTCTGGCCAAGTGTCAGCCTCCTGGCAGAGGCAACCGGGTTTTGGGCAAAAATGTCCTGGTACTTAGTAAAGTTCATGATGCTTCCCAGGACCAGTGGAAGCAAAATAGCCAGCCCCATAACATCAAAGATCCACCACCATATTTTACAGTAGGTAAAATGTTCTGCATATGCTTCTGTTTTTCAACGATAAAAAACCCTCAACTGGTGCGTGTGGCCAAAGAGTTCTATCTTCATGTCATCTGACCATAGCACCATGTGAAGTTTGATAAACGGCATTGGCACTTGGATTGGAACCGGTGCTATGGTCAGATGACATGAAAATAGAACTCTTTGGCCACGCAAAGAGATCTCTCCCGATGTGTTCTCCAATCTCATAAAACATTTTAGAAAAAGGCTCAGTGGCGTTATCCTCACAAGGGGAGGGTGCTGGAGTTTTGACCCCCCCATGCGTGTGTGTGTGGAGAAGGGATGTTAATTAAACAGTGTGCGTTTTAGAACGTGCATGTACTGAACAATGTGTATATGTCTTTAATTAGATAGTGTGTGTGTTGTGTATCACATATGAGTGTTAAAAAGCTTACAGTCTGAGTGTGAATGTATCAAACGATATGTGTGTGCTTCAGAGAATATTTACACGCTTATGTGTGTGTGTTGCAGACATGAATTCAAATACTATTTATGGTATTTCAATTACTTTCAAAGACATTTGAAAGTAAGGATTTATATATATATATATATTTGAAAACAAGTAGTTGAGTATTGGAATGTATTTGGAAATATATTTGGAAAGTATTGGCATGTATTTCAAAATATATTTTTAAAAAAGAAAAAAGAAAATACTACCATGAATTTGAACCAGATCTGTTTGGTATTTGAAATAATTTATTTGGAAAAAGACATTTGCAAATATTTTAAAATAGTAGGTTATGTGTAGGAAATTATTTGAAAATACTTTCAAATACTTCCAATAGAAACATTATTTGAAAATACTCAAATACACAGAAAATAAGAATTTAAAGAAAAAATAATGAAATATACATGTATTTGAACCCAGGTCTGGTGTGTTGTACAGCATACGGTAGGTATTGGAGTGTGTGTGTATGGGAAAAAGAGAACACGTTAACATGTTTTGAATTCCATTATGGACACATCATCTTGTGTAAGTCTGTTGCCTGTATGCAAAGACAGAGATAATGAGGGTATGTATGCGTGATGAGTAATTGCGCCACATTTTTTTGCGCTGGATCTTATCTTAAGCTCCTGTGTTTGGACCACCACACACACACACACACACACACACACACACACACACACACACACACACACACACACACACACACACACACACACACCCCGGTAATAAGCCACAGTCAGAACAGTCCCAGAGTCATGGTGCTTTACTTTGCTATCCCAAACATAGATATAGAAAACACCCATTATGCCATCATTGACTAGAATGGGGAGGCCCATTCTATAGAACATATTTCTATGGGCAAAACATCCTCACGCTAAGCAACAAGGATTAGCTGTCTTAAGAAGGTGAAGATCTAAACAATTACTTTGATCATCAAGTTAAAGTTGATTGAGTTATCATCCCCTTAATCATACGATTATCTAGATCAGTGGTTTTCAAACCTCTCCTCTGGGACCCCCAGACGTTTCAAATGGTTTTTGTAGCCCTTAACTAGCTTGCCTGATTCACCTAATCAAGAGCATGATAATGAATTGACATGTTGAATCAGGTGTGCTACCTCTGGAAAATATAAAATACATGGAACGGCTGGGGGAGGAGGGGTTGGAAAACCCCTGATCTAGTTTATCAAACTAACGCCGTCACCATTCATTGTCTTCATGTTTGATCACAGAACAATTGTAAATATACTACATTGTTGCAGTGAAAATGGTTAACTGAATGAGCTACATTGTTCAGTTTTGTTTTTAGCCTGCTAATGCTTGAGGTTAGGATTGGGGCAGGGCAGACTGGTCCCAGATCTGCAATTAGAGTCCAGTTGTTCCTCAAGTGGCTGAGCTCACCTCATGCTATAAGCCTGTGAGTGAGTGAGTGAGTGAGTGAGTACAGTGGTGGAACTAGCAGTAGGCAAACATCTGTAGTCCACGTGGTGAGAGAGAAGGAGAGCAAGAAGAACTAGGTCATTTGGAAACAGGTCATGCATCTTCTTGGAGAATCATCACTCATCACACACACATGCATGCACACTCACACGCACAAACACACACACACACCCTCAATTACGCGTACCTATCCACCCATCTGGAAATGATATCAAACTCAGTTGGTATTATCTGTGGCACTCCCTAGTGGCCATCTAGTGTCACTATCGTCACCAACACCAACTCACCAGCCACCAACTTACTGTACATTACGTTCATGTACATTTCTTTGAGCAGCCAACTAAGTGACCCTCAGTAGATTCACTTAAATATTTTTTGTCCTCTCTCCCGTTCTCTTTCTCCTCTCCTTCTTCTCCCATTCCCCTCTCCTCTCTCCTGCCCTCCTCTGCTCCCCCAGCAGAGTAAAAAGGCCAAGAATAGCAGGTGTTTAATTAGGGGATTGCAGGCAGGGTGCTAAAAACACCAGGGGATTGCTTTTATTTAATGCACACGTGTGCCTGCCTGGCCATAAATAGGTGTGCTGGTCACTCTGACCCCCCTACCCCCACCTCACCAAGCCAGACCAGATTAGACTGGGCTGTTATGGGAGAGGGCCTGTTACTGGGACAACACCACAACGTTTATACACACAAACACAGGGAGAGCGAGAGAGAGATGGAGATGAGGGAAATGGATAGAAGAGGAGTAGAGGCCATAGGGAACATAGAGACCAATAACTTCTAACCCCACAAATAACTGACAGGAGCTGTTTAGAAGTTTCGCAAAGCCTGTTACTTCCACCAATGCGATGCAAAGGTCTTTTGAACCCAAAATAAGTATTTTCAACATCTTTTCAACGTCTTGTGCTCATAGGGATATTGTTTCTTAGTGGTTGAGTGAACATAACCAGGACCGATAAAGAAAAACTCCTGGTTCTACAAGTAAAGTAACATACAGGAGTTGTAACAAACATGGTGTTGTTACTTTAGTGGATCACAGGAGACTACATAACCCACACACGTTTTCTAGTAGAAGCTTACACAAAACCCTGATACAGTATATCCACCAATGCAATGCAAAGGTATATTTTCTCTGTTTGTTATTTGTTATCTGTTTGTTATTTGTTATCTGTTTGTTACTGAGTGAGGGTTTCCTTCCTCTTCTAGTTAGGCCATAGTGAGCAGAGAGAGGAGAGCAAAGCTATGACCTGTTCCTCATGCCGTGGCCCACAACCTGTAAAGTTTGTTAGGTTGTGTTAGCACAGCAGGGCTAGGATAGGTTGCGCCTAACGAGCTGCACCACCTGCCTGCCTGTCTCACACCCACAGCCCACACACTTGACAGGGAGGGAGGGAGGGGCAATAGAGTACAGTACATTTAGGGCTTGTACAGACAGAGACGACACATACATCTTTCTCTCAAAGTTACAACTTCTAATGCTCCTAAAACTATGTTTGAACGGGGTTGAAAGTCTGAAAGGATATGCTTTCTATGAGAAAACATGCAGTGTCAAAACAAGATGCATAACTTATAGCAACAAGTTTAACAATCAAAATACATTAGCTATATCTAACGTTAAAGTTCTGTGAACGTGAATATGCATGTTTAATATAATGTGTGTGAATGTGATCAAATGTAATCTCTCTCTCTCTCTTCCCCTCTTCTCAT